AGCTGTTTGGTGAAATAATTTTATTTATCACCATTAAGTATCAAATTACAGATGACAGCTTCGGCAGTTAGTGACTGGTTTTGGCAACCACAATTAAAATGATAATCTCACTGAATGTTCACACCATAAAACTATGCTGAATGTATTTAAACGATCCTTTAATCGATCATCTTCAATCTATTTCGATTCTTATGACTGTCCTAAAATGTAACTAGTGCCGAATAGAATCAAATTGCCGACAGTAGTCACCATCACATGAGAAGCTTCTGGCGTTTAAAATCGTTTTAGAACAGTTTTTGACAATTCAAGCTGAACATTGCATTAGGTCCTAAGTAACATTGTTCGATTCTCTTCGTCGACATTCTCTTTCGTTAATAACTTGAGCACAAAACCGTTTCTTGTTGTACGACAATAGATGCTAGATAAAAGCATCGATCTGTACGCTGAAAATTCCTTGGAATGTCTTTACATGGCCGTGGAGATACAAAGAGAAAGTCGACGAAGAGCATCTGTCAATGTTACTTAGGACCTAATGCAATGTTCAACTTGAATTGTATTGAAAGGAATTGATAGAGGAGCTAGCTGCAAGAAAATGTAAACAAACAAACCCGTTCATATGTGTACGCTACGCTGATAAAATCCCCATAGAAGTCCGGGTGCTGCTAGATTAACGAAAATACTTTTTCTTCCGATTGGATTGTTCGGCTGCAAAAGCGTGTCCTGTCGGGTTGGCCGTATTTTATACTATGTAATAGATTCTTTCATCGAGCTGTGAGTTGAGCGTAGCCGGCGATGTCTTTATGGCCGTGGGAATCCAAAGAGAATCGATCAATTTTTCACATGCACTGTTCGGTATTTGAAAATTTATGCATTTTTCGTTATTTGAAAATTTATGTAAAATTGATTAAACTGTGAAGTTTTGTCACGCTATAGAGATTTTGAAATTCTGGGGGGTGACCCCAGCGTAGTGGTTAGCATCCATACCTATCATGCCAAATTCACGAGTTCTGCACTAGTCACGAATGACCCAAGAGAGTTAAAGTGACTATAATTAGAAAAAAAACGGAATGCTTAAGTATCTGTGCATGCGATGAATTGAGTCGGTTGATATTAAGTACTTTAAGTGACTCATTGCAAATTGCATATATTCCAAACAGGCTTTATAGAACCTCACTCTAGAGTCGATTGAAGTATTTTTTGAGGAGTAGAATTTCTACTCACAAATCATTCCACCGAGCCTCACAACTTGTAAGCGAAGGGGAGTAACACGGGAATGGGTTTGCTGTAGCTGATAAAATTTCCTACAAGTATAGCTATAATTTTTAAAAGCAAGGCGATATGGCGAATTTTTAGATGGATATGAACAAAAAAATGGTTTTCCCATAGTAAAACCCATATAAACTTCAAATGTGTTGTGCCAAGTCAGTTTCTTACTAAATGATTTCAACTTTTGGAAGGCTCTGATTGAAGGATCTGCCCAATTACTTTTTTAGTACTGTATTGATTAACACCAACGGGACTTATTTCAAGTATAATACCGATTGGATATTACCACCATAAATGAAAAACGACATGACATGACTAATTTTCTGATAAATTCGACAGTGAGCATGCATAAGGGCGTAAACGCGATGATCGATTCTCTTTTCTTAATAACTCGCTAGATTTAACGTTACTCGGTACGTTTTTTGTTGCTTTTGATAGCCAAAACAACCTGTTACAACTCTGCATTGAACAACTTCTAGAAAATTGTTTCACTTAGCTGTTGCAATGCAAAGAGAAAATCCATGAATAGAATCGATCAAAGCATAGTAAAAAAACTGAAACAAACTCCAGCCAACAAACATTGCAAGCAGAATAGGAACTTATTCAGACAAAAACATGCTTTTATAAACTAAAAAATGGCTTATTATTATTATTTTTAGTATTTTTAAACTGAGGATTATTTTAAAACTTATCAAAAATGCTAACTTTTCTGAAATTTTCTTCAATGAAACTTGAAATTTGGACTCTTGAAACTGTTTAAAAGCATCAAGTATAATGTCAACTGAGATCGGCACTGATAAAAAAATTCAAATAAGTAGAATTAAATGGAAGAGACTTGCTCTAGTCCTTATGAGCACCCCAACTTCACAACTTCCATACATGACTGGTTATTTGCATGATCATACAGTAGTAATGGTATTGGGGTCACATCAAAAAGGTAGCAAAGTATTGTTTTCATTGTCAGCAACTAGACTAGAACTTTCTGAAAGGCTTGTCTGAGTATAGAAGAAAAAAAAAAGATGTTTTAGTAATCAACTCACCCACCATTCCAATCTTTATCCTTTTATATTCTGGCCTTGTCTGAAACAAATGGACAGCAATGTTGTCGTTAATACCACCCATTTAATTGTTTTCTTTTTACTGTTTTATGTGAATTCTTAGAAAAACTTGAGCCGAGATATTTGTTCTTGTTCTGAGCTGAAAACAAAACCGTCTTTGTCATAGGACAAATGGGAACTCCTCCTCTCTTTCTCTCTCCCATTCAAGCTACATTGCAGCGTATACTCTACTGTTTTGCATTCACATACATATATATATTTTTACCATATTATATATCTATTTAGTCTACTCAGTACTTGTAATCGGTTGACCAGTGTGTGGAAGTACATCAAAATTGTTTTGTTACTTATTGATTTGAGTATGTATCTAATTCGAATTCAACGCCAATCCATAAACGTATTTTTATATATATAAAAAACGCTTCGGCTGATGTTGCGAGCATAGGAGGTAAGAGTTTGCACTGCTATTTGCTTGATTTTTTAGTTTTAGTTTTATGTTCACCCTAATTCATAGACACTAACACACCATAGTGTTTTTTTTTATATATATTCTGTATTTATTGATTGAGCTCACTAATTTTCATTTACGATTCATATATTTTTTTCTTTTTTTTTATGTTTTATTTACAGAACCCGTATACACAATCGCTAATAGCTAACCACATATAACAAATGCCTTTATTTTCTCACACCATGTCAAATTTTGCGCACAACAGTTTCAAACGATTAGTTCAATTTCTCACCACAACCACCAAACAGCCAACCATTCAACGGTAGCAATGCCAAAAACAACACACCAGCAATTGACAGCTTTGGTTTGACCGCTTGTAGATCATTTGGATATTATCGCTTCTATAAGAATATTATCATTTCAAGTATTATTTTTTTTATTTTCAGCACCGGTTTTAAAGCTTCACTCGCCTTCACCTTTGAATTGTATCTATCATTGTCCGATTAATTCGAGTGCCCCCATTTACAACTTGCAACAAATTGTTACCTTTTCCCTTTCCGCCGTCTACGTCACAATCAACCTCTTCCTTAAAACTAGCATCATACACTCAAAATTGATTATGTGCTTGAGAAACGGAGAGTAAACGTTCTCTTAAATACAATTAGCTGGAGATTGGAATGTTCTAAAAAAAATCACAAGGTCAATTTCGGGTGTACGGTTTCCGCTGTCATAATTCTGTTCGTTTCCGATGGTTTGTAAATGTCTCACGTTGCATTGGCCCCCAAGAAACTCAAATCCCTGATCTTTTATCCCTACCATTCATTCACCAAAACCCGTTTGTTTTCCCAGCAAACAAGAGATAAAATTCCCAAGCAATATCTGTCACCTTTGGTAGCTCCACTCCAGCCTTTCACGTTCTATATTTATTCTTATACCAACTTCGCTTAATATTGACTGTGGCTTATGAAAATTTACAAAACCAATCGTACTACCTAGATATACTTAGTTTAGAATAAACGTACATCAGCGAAATATTTTCACTACCTAGAATCAGTCCTGTATGCAGCTAAAATTTTGAAAACATGTTTTGTTAGCTCAAGTTTGATTTCCGCGGGTAGTAAACAATGCAGTGGATGAACGAATAATAAATGGCTTTAGTGTACACACGTAATGCGAGCATTGAACAAACAAATTCCCTCCATCGAAGTAATAATAAAACCTGATTTGATCCCGTTATCGTTAGATTGTTTTGTGATCTTTGCTTTGGTAATTTGGTTTACCCAAATGTTGAGGAATCGTATGTAACTTGTAGTTTATCGTTCGACGGTGGAAGTAAATTAGAAACCACTCCAAATTGCATACGCCTGAGACCATTTGGGCTTAGGTTCTGCTTTTAATGTTTTAGTTGTTTCGTTGTGATTTTAGTACATTGTTTTACTCTCCGCTAACGGAAACCGCAGAGAGTTCCTGTATTGTTTGCATGATTTTTAGACGTTTCTTAATTTATTTACGGAGATTCCCTTTCCAACCACGGCTTAATATTTGTCGAAATTGTTTTAATCAAATGACTTATGTTTTCAAAATATGTTTTCCCATTGTTTTATTTCACGCTTACCATCATTTCACTGGATTATAAAATATTAATTTACGTTCGGTTACGCTTATTTGATTAATCAAAAATATAATTTCAACCGATAAAAAAAACCGAAAAAACGAATGAAAATAACGTGCAAATTTGACGATAATGTTGATTCCGATATTTCGAATCACCATCCCAAACACAATAAAATCAATTAAACACTCCGCTTGACCAACTATGTCGGCTTTCACAATGTTAAAAATGCCCACCTACCATCGTCACCCCCGATTCATTGCTACTCCTTGGTCCTTTTACCGTGCACCACTATATGCCATGAATTAATCCATGATCTTCAATAAAATGGTGCCATAAAATTGCACCTAATTTAAATCAATCCCAATTAAATTGATATCGTATTAATGCCCCCATTCATAACATCTCCCGTAAACCAAATACTACTACTACTGCCCCACATTTCCTCTCCCAATGGCCTGAAACACACCCCCTGCCCCTTGTCTTACACTCCACATTATCCACTTATTGTCATTGCTGTAATGAAAAATAAATTAATGTGCCGGATGAAATAATATGGACTCAATAAAATTTGACAATCAAACCGAAATTTAATTTAAAAAACCAACATCAGCTTCGTCTACAATACCTTTGAATGCTCCTTACGTTATCTACACCGATGCCAATGGACAGGTACAGGTTTTCGTGCTTATGTTTTTCAATTATTATAATTATTATTATTTAAACAGTAAAATTCCAGTTTCAATGCTTTTCGTTTGCTGCTTATCCCAAAACAAACTTTTAGTTGCATTTACCCCCTCTAAATAACCAAGGAAACGTTTGCTTTTTTAAATGATTAAATGCCCGCCTACAACCCCACCTATGGATCTAGAATGTGCTTTTTCAAAAACAAAAATTATCCGCCCAGCGTCGCAGCAGCTTCAGAATTGTTTTTTGTTAGCATCTTCAACGGTATTGGCCGCTTGCTTGGTGGCAGCAGCACCGCTTATGTACTTTCTTCTGTTTTACATTATAAAAAAAAGTTTAAGACATATAAACTCACCCCTTCCTTGCCTCTAGCTTTCTGATTAGACACAAGTATCGAAAATATTAATGGTTTTTCAAACAGATATGGGCTGCCGCTGAAGAATGAATGCCTGCTGCTTAGTATCTATTCTCACACACAAAATCCAGATTCTCTTACTAACTGTGCTTTTTCCTAATTTCAATTATACAAAAAATGTCTGCTTGTTAGTTTCTTTACGTGTTTTAGTTCATTGAAAACTGTCTCTACTTGAAGTGATAAACCAATCAAGTTCTAACATTTCGATAGGGCAATAAAGTGTCTACAGATGAACTAACTAAATCTTTAGGGTTAGGCAGTGAACACTTAGTACAAACATGAATTTAGTCAGAAACAATTAGGGAAAAAACAATCAAAGCCACTGTTTCGTGACAAACTGAAAACTTAAATCCCGAATCGTCATTTAAACAAACTGAAAACTGTGGATTATCCAACCTGAAATACATCAATGCCATTTTTGCTAGAATAAATTCTCAAAATGTTCCCCATTCTCCCACAATCCCAAAGTTTCTAATTCCAAATTCAAATCGATTTTTTTCCACCCCCTTACTGTATTCTCTCAAAAGCCTCCGTCTTTGCGGTCTTGAATTCACCAAAACCAAAAAAAAAAAACATCCCCATATCTTCCCTTGCCATTCGGGTTAAGTTTTATTGTTTTAATTTAATAATCTCGTTTTTCTGTTTTGTTTTACTTTAGTTCGTTTGAATCAACCATTCTTACTACCACTACTTATAACTTGAAAATCACCATTTCTCTTCCATCACGCTGGCTCGAGTGCAAATTAAGGCTAAACTAATCGAAAGTCTGTCTTTCTTGTCCGCCCGTTACAGTTACTGGACACCCTCCCGGTGTGCCAAGATTTTAATAGATCGATGTGCACGCGCCCGACCTGTAGATTCGTACATCTAATGGAGTGTAAGTATACCCGGTTTGAGTTATTTATGTACATTATATAAATATTGCTGGATAAGAGGAGAGGATTCAGTGTGTTGGTGGCCCTATGTTGGGATCAACTTGACTATATTTGAGGGTTCATCCAAAATTTCGGAAACAACTAGCGAAAAACAGCCGGGCAGTTGACCAGCGGTGTCCCAGTGTCTAATGTTTTAAATAAGGTAAAAATAGTTTGTATTCAATCATCGTGGTAAAATATCAGGATAGTCCCCTTTATCCTGTTCAATATTCAAAACTTTCCCGGTTTTACATGTCATGTCAACTGTTCAGAATCAGAATGCATCCCGAGCAGGAGAAAATAACTAACGAATGCCTAATTATGTGCCTGATACCAAAATTTGGTGTTAATCAGCCTAACATCCCGAGCAAGAACCTATAACTGACCGATAATTTATGAATATCTTAATGTTGTATGATATCTTATGTTGGTATGCTTATGGTATAAAACCTTGTTTTAATATTATTCAGTTATCGAAATATTTTATAAAATATCAAATGAATGCCAAAATAACAAAACGTGATCTTTCAGTTTTTAGACAATAATACATAGGAGTTATTGGATTGGTATTAGAAGACCTTTTAAATAACACATTATGGTATTATGGCATACAAAAAAGTGTTTAGAATCCGTCAGTTATTATAATAATCAAAGTTCGTTATTCGAAGAACATTTGTGAGTTTTTTTTTGTATTTTACCTCTTATGTCAAGCTTAACCATACCAATTTAAATCGATATATTCGTTCCTACTCGGGATGTATAGGGAAATGGCAAATATACTTTACAAACATACATATACAAACTATTAAAAATGACCCATAAAAATGCTCCTTTAAAACATCCAAATGATTAACCCGGTAAATACCATAATAAGATCGGTATTTAAGGTCAAATTTAGCATTTGCATTTCAAAAAGCTGTGTTGGCAGAATCAACTTAAAAAACAAGATTAGAACTCTGAACAGCATGATTTCTAAAACCACGCCTGTAATCACTAGGCTGCAGACCATTTTAATTAAACATCTGAAAAATCTCTATTAATAAAAATAGTGCAACTTATGGATTAAACGTTCAACAATGAACCTAACGGAATTGATCCATAGAAACACACTATTGCACACTTAATAATATAGGTATGATCCATAGATTAGACATATTTGTTTCAAGTTTGGAAATTACAGCTTTTGTTTACCCCTACCACTGTATGTGCTCCTGTCATCGTCGACTTGACGATCTCGAGGGGACACGGGTGGGGTAGGTGCTGCTACTGTACCTTTCGACCAATGGCAGTAATTGATGGTATAGTATGTTATATTTTGTTTAAGGATTTTCACCGGGGTTCTATGGATCTTTCGGGTGTTTTCTTAATGGGTGTATTTCTTTTTTATGGATCGTATTATCAATTCTAAAGGTGCGTCCTTAGGATAGCCATAGGAAAATATCACAACGCAGAACGAATTTAGTATGGAATCTTGGAATTCAAGACCAACAATTGAAATGGCCTTAACTCCATTTTGTAAACAAACCTTGTAAGGCCATTTTCTCGCGAACCGAAGTCTACAAAGGCAAAGCAACATAATGAAAAGGTAGGAGAAATTCTCCTCTACCCGATTGTGCACACTTAGAAAAAATCATGTAAATTTAGGTGTTCTGAGAGTGACATATACGAGCGTCAATTTTGACATAAATTTGAGTCATAACAGACGCAAGATACAGCTCAATCAAACGTACTTTTTGTCGAGCAACGAACTTTTCAGTCTCGGAGCACTTAATATTACATGACATGTTTGTTTACGTCTTCATCTTTTATGGATGGATGGATGGATTCCGTCACGTGTAAAATTCGTTATTTCTAGGTGTGTGGTTTAGGTTTGCAAATGTAGGTTTCGGTTCGCGAGAAAATGGCCTTACAAGGTTTGTTTACAAAATGGAGTTAAGGCCATTTCAATTGTTGGTCTTGAATTATCGTATTAGAGATTTGTTGCTATTTGTCGTTAAATTACAAAAATAACATTGAATCGCCAAAATGGCCACGAAAACTCCAAAATGGTTTCAAACTTGATTAACTTTCTTATTGCAATTTTTTTCTCTTTTCGGGACATCAAACTACTGCGACCAGTATTTTAATCTATTATAGTATATCCCGTGACCTTAGTTTAGTGCATGTTGTATTACTCCATCACTATCGAGAAATTATGATGTATTCGATTTTTTATACAGTTGTCATTCTTGCCTTCATCGCAAGGAATCGACTCTAATTGAAAGGTCCCGCTATTTATACCCTTCGGAGTGTTGGAACACCCTCCAAAGGCGCGCCCCTTTGTCAGTCAAAATTGGATTCCTTAGCAACCGATAATGACCATACATCAGAACCCTAGCCTTAACCACTTCAAACTAGGGAACAACGAATAGCAGATTAGGAAGGTGAAGACTAACTCACTCATTTTTTCCTTGTTTCAAGATCATCCTCGGTCCAGGCAACCCGAGGACTTATCACTATTAACAAGGCATAAAAAGTAACAAGGACTAAGATGTGTTCCTTTGGTTACTGAAAAATCCTGTTCCCCTCGTTTGAAGTAGTCAGGACTAGGAATCGGTGGTAGATCTTACATCCCATAACGTACCACAAAAAAGTGATCTACCCACGTTACGGGGCTGATCAACAGGTTGTCATACAGCTTTGGAGCCCGGGTTCTAGCTACGGTATTCTGCTTGAGCGATCGATTTCGTTGCCTACTGTCGCGGTATGTCTGGGTTGCTTATGATAACCTCACGACCTTTCCGTGGAGCTGACGGCTGGCAGTTCCACTACGGTGTTTTCTTTGAGGCTTCCGATTTGTCGTCAAGGTTTCCCTGTACGTTTTGGGCACGCGCCATACGGTGTTTCTAGGAAAATTCAACACTTTAGGCAGTTTGGACGCGGACCACGATGGATTTTCCAGGTGACTGTGCACGATTGCAAGAGCGTTTTTCGAACTGAAAAAATACACTGTTATTGTTACTGTTATTGTCAACAAATAGACGTCCAAAGCTTCGAAAAACGTCCACTGTAATGCACTGTAATAAGCAAAAGAGTTTGTTCCATTAACCAGCACAAATTGTTGGCTGGGTACCCGGAACATATCCGTGTGACCAATGTGGGCATGGAAAGTCAATATTACCGCAAACGATTTTATCGATTTTCATGTGATTTAATGTCCCAAAAAAAAATCACCCAAGATGCACCACAGCATCACAGCAAAAAATAAATTTTAATATTACATCCATGAGGATGCACTTCAATCATGTCGAAAATCTAATGTAATTTTTATGACCACAAAAATGAACAAATGCAATAAAAGCAGCGTAACTCACAAGCTATGAGTAGCTGCAGTTTTTTTTTCCAAATCTGAATAAATTTCGTATGGAAAGAAAATTCTCTGAGTCAATTAATCTCAGTCGCTGAGTTGGTATGATTGGCCGTGTGTTTTAATGATAATTATGTCCTTTTTGGCAAGTAATATTACACCAAATTTTTTGACACGATTGAAGTGCATCCACTGTGATATGATATCAAAATTATTTTTTTACTGTTGAATATGTCCGGATGTGGTCAAAGTGGTCATTGACACTCGATTACTGTTGAATTTGTTTTTGAATTATCATGCGATATGAGGTTTTGCATAATGAGCTTTTTTTTTATCTAGTTCGTTTATTTGGAAGGCTCAATCGCGTTAGCTTTACGGAGCCGATAATTCATTGTGATAATGAGCTTTGGCCCCACTAAGAAACTGGCAACAAATTGGGGCTTTTGATAAACTAGCCGAAGGCGGCGGGATTGAGGTTGATGATTTTCTCGACTTCCCTGAGTATAGAGTATTATTGTGCTTGCCACACAATATACAAATAAAAACATTGGTTGGCCTAGAAAGCTCCCAATTAATAACTGTGGAAATTCATCAAAGGACACTAACTTGAGAGCCAGCAGGACTTTTACATAAAAAACGTAAAAACCAAAGATGAAAAAATGTGACATGATGGGTTTGCCCCTAATCATAAACTGTTAACATCTCCAGGAGAACTAAACATGTCCTGATGTGGCTAAACATGTCCTGGGCATATGATATGATCATTTAAATACATGTTTAATTCTCATGTGACTTGAGGTGTCCCCGGGGCACCCGAAACATGTCCGGATGTGCCCAATGTTCTCTTGCCATTTGATATGACTACCACTGAGCTTACTTTTTAGATAAGTTTAGCCTTTAGTAAGCTTCCCCGAGGGTACCCGGAACACATCGGTAGTCTGAATGTAGGCAATTCTGGCCACTCGATTTGACTACCATTGAACATGTTTTTGATTTCTCATTTGATTCCAGGTATCACATGATGGGTTTTGGTAAAAGTTAAAAACTGGCCATTTCCCTGGGGGTACCCGGAACATGTCCGAATGTGGTCGATTTGTTGCAGGGCACCCGAAATGACTACCATAATCTTGTTTCGAAAACCCATGTGATTTGACGTGGTCTCAAGACCCATACTCACCGGAACATGTTCCGGTGACATATTTGGAACCAGAAGACCGATTCCTAAAATATGTAATAATTCTAATATTCACCACGGTATTTTTCATTTAGCACTTGTTGTGTTCGTTTTGCTGCAATGATGGCCGAGAAAAACATCACTTAAAATGTTACAACATGCACACATAAAGACATTGACCAATATAGAGTAATTCCCTACGAATTCGCAAATCGATAAATTTTTGAATTTTTTGATTTGGTTGAAAATTATCAGAATCGTTCCTCATGACCGACTATGCCATTTTGCATCTTCATATCACCATTTTGTATTATAGACCCTTTTTCGTTTATTCGGGTCTTATATCACCAGCCTTATTTTTGAAAAGGGCCTATAGAAAAATATCTAGCTTATCTTCAGAAATTTTTTACTCGAAAACTGTTTGTCCGATCGGTTTGATGTCTTGCTCAATGTTGCAGGTAATGAATGAGACTATTTGAAACAAATATGCACTCTAAAAAAATTACCCAACTTTTTTGTTTAAATTTCAAATAAAGTCTTTAAAACAATTTTTCTCAAAAAATGATGATCTGTATTTTTCTTTATTTGTTGATATATTTTGGAGGACAAAAAATACCATCTATTGCACTATAATTTAAGATGGAGAAATGATGGACAAAAAAGTTGAGATTTCTTTAAAAATTCTAGTTTTTGGAAAAACATCCAAAACTTGGTCCAATTACTGTTCCGACTTTATATAATGAAAGTACATGAAAGTAATGAAGGTACATATCTTTTTGGAAATAAGAAATGAAGAAGACATCAATATATTCCGGAATGAAATACACATATTCTACATATGGTGCGAAAAAGTCTTCTTCAACCAAAATATAAAAATAATATGCGAATTCGTAGAGAATTGCTCTTTAGTCGAGCTGAGTGGAACGGTATAAGATAATCAAATGGTCTTTAAATACAATGTAACATGTTTTACATTACAATTTGAACAATTGTCGCAACTTATTTGTTACTTATTCCAGTCACAATCAAGTTGCAAAGTCTCTTTAATAAAAAAAGATAAGATATTGTGACAGAAGTGCGCTTTTTAAGAAGATATGACTTATGAACGCAAACCAAATTGATTTCATAAGACACTTATGAATTCCATAGGCATGCATTCCAAGCGAATTTTGATAACAATCCTAAGTGAATCTGAAGCTAAAGACAGTTCCAAAGGTTTTCTAAAGTGAACTGCAATTCTGATGATACACGCAAACCAAAAATGTATTACATTGAATGTTAGATGCATTCAGTGCTGGAAGATATCATTGCAATATGAATCACTATACTCCTCAACTGCACCGTCTTTGAGCTCGTGACTAAAACCTTGCTTATACTTGGCGTGATTACTGCTGCTATCACATACCCACTTGTAGACAACGGTTAGTTCATAGCTACCATAGAACTGTTGCAGTTTTTCAACCTGACTGTTTATTAAGCGGGTCGTTGTATGGTCCAGAAGTTCTTGAAGCCTAACTACTGCCACGGATGGCGAAATCGATATTCCTGTATAAGGCAGTGTAATTACAGTTGTAGTTCATCATACAGTTCCTTTTAAAATTTACCAGGTGGATAGTACATTTCCTTTGCTTCGAGAATTTTGCCATACGCTGGAACAATATCTGCGCCACTTTGAAGAATACTAAGCCGAATACTCGTGTATTGCGCTTTTGAGAAATTATGTTTACATATAAACGCATGATCTTCTTCTGGCCGTATTTCCCAGAAGAAGCTCTTGCGTTTATAGGCAAACATAATTAGATTTTGGTTTCTGAGGTTTCCATTGAACTTGGTGCTTTCATGATGTTCTCTACAATCTTGGCATTCTTCTTTCCTGTTACGTAAAATAAGGTAATGCATTTGACATTAATTTCAAATTCATCAAGCTTAATACCTGGCGGTTCAACACTAGATGCTGCGGCAAACATCAGTTCCTTTGAAGAAAAATGCTCGCTCAATTCACGCGTCCTATTTGTGCTCGCTTAATCAGATTATTTTCGATTAACGATCCGCAGTATTTCAGGTCTTGAATAGTTCTGATCATAATGTCAGTTTTGATACTCTCCGAACCAACTAAATCCAAATGCATAGATAACTTCGTTCAAATATTATGAGAGGTAGTTCATGCTGATGGTTTATTGACGTATGAACTACGTCTTTGAGGAATAAACTGAGCTGCAAATCGAAAAAATAGTGTGTGTTTTGAACGCTTATAACTTGACCAATTATGGATGGATTTCGAATCTTATTACATCACTTGATTAAAATTTGATTCGTTTAGTGTAAATATTATAGTTGTTTATCAATAGCAAACTATTGAAAATGGATCAAACATTTTTACCATAATCAACCATTCAGTACTCGCTTGCTCTCGCACTTGCTATGACTATCAGGCAGATAGCCGATAGTGAGGTTGTAAAAGAGCGCACCTGTAATTTTTGTGTTAGTTCATCTACGGATGTATTAACGCAAGAGAAAGTCAGTTAAGCAAATCAATCAAAGGAAATCGAGCCTTTTAAAATGTTCATCGAGATTTGGCTTATAGTTTTTATACGCCCGTTCTAAATTACTCAAAAATGTGTAGAATAGGATGAATTATTTTCGGAGTAAACAAGAGGAATCCAAAAATAGGTAAAAGCTTTACCAACAATAAGGTAAAAACTTACTTAAAATTAATTAATGATTCGAATTTTTTGCATGTAAACTAAACTGAAGGTTGATGTCTTGGCCAAAGTTGTTCAGATGGATAAAGCGTATTGAATGGTGGAATGCTCAGTTCAGAACTCGCTCACTAGGTAGCGAGAGTGTGTCATTTTATCTCTAATTACTTGCTTAAGATGACATCCCGATTTGATAGAAGGTTGGTGTCTTCGGGAAAGTTGTGCAGGTGGACAATACCTATTAGATGTAATATAAAAATGTTATATGATGTCAGATGCACTGCAATGTATTATAAACAGGAATGTTATATGAAATGCATTTTAACTTACGATTGATTTTTTTTTCTTTGACTTGTTTTCCGTTGATCTTGTTTTCCGTACTGAGTACCAATGCTACCAACAACAGGAAGGCAGTATTGAGTACCAATGGACCCTACCTATCAGCTTATTAACTCATGGACCGGGGACCAGCGGCTTTACTTCCCTTCCGAAGGAAGTTGTAATCATGGATTTTATGCCTCAGAAAATCGGGCGTCGCTGACTGGGATTGACCCCAAGCTTTTTGGGGTGAGAGGCAATCACGCTTACCACTAAACCGCTGACGTCGCTAACGAAGTATTCTAGAAAGTTGCTTGTTTTGGCAAATGAAAAAATCTTTCTAACATAGTATGCCATGAAAAAATCAAATAAAAATGTTATGGTTAAAAAACGATTTGAAGGGACCTTCCTTAAAAAATACTTCATATCTCAATGAAAACGACGATTTAAACCATCGATGTTTTCAGCAAAGTTTGTGTAAATGATAAGATCTACAACTTTGTGGAACATTTTTTTTTTAAAACTCATAGAAAAAAAGTTAGAAATTTTATTTTTTGTCCTAAGGGATTTAAATTATGGACGACCTCTTCATCAGATGCGCCTTTTCTCAAATCTAAACTTGTCTCAAGACACCAATTTAATTAAACTGCATCTTTATGCACTTTTTTAGTTTTTACCTGAAAAACACCCTCCTGGACTACTGTGATTGTCAATGAAAAATTCCACGCGATATTTACAGAGGAGGCTCTGTCACTATCATCGCTAAATTCGCCTCGATTTTGTAATAACAGAACGGAAAGTTTACAAATATGCTTGAAGAATACCGTTGTGAACTCCTAAGAAATTTTTAGGAGAATTTCAAAAAATCTCTGGAGTCGCTCCAAGCAAAATTTGGGCACCATTCAAAGCGAATTATGGAGGATCATAGAATCTTGAAGTTCCTAGGAAATTTACAGAAGAATCCTGAGATATTACATAGCAGAGTTCTATGGTTATTCTGATGAATACGAAAAGAGGAATATTCCACAAGCAAATAGTCAAAAATACTCTTTTTATTTGGAACTGATCACTTTACGAACTCAAATTCAGTCAACAATTCATCAGGTCCTCTTCTCATAAGATTCAGTCAATTATTTCAACTAATTGTTATGTATTCAATTAAATAAGTAGATCCTTTTCTAACTCCCCCAACTCCAATATTTCTTCCAAACAGGTGATAAAGTAGAAGTATGTGATCAACGCGTGGCGGTCTGTCGTGATCATGCAAAGGGTATGTGTAAGCGCAAACAATGTAAATATTACCACATACCGATAGTACTGCCACCAGCGAACGTGATGGCCGCCACAGCAAAACTAGCAGAGTAGAACAAGAACAACATCAACAACAGCAGCAGCAGTTGCAATATGAAATACACCTACCAACCAACCGATCAATCAACCTACCAACCAACCACTTCAATGCAGAACCCCGAAGCCCAGATCCTAGCCGATCGCTAAGAAATGTGGCAAAATGGTGGAATTTTTTGAACGAATAGAATCCTACACAGTGCAGCAAGAATAAATAAGTACACAACAGTGAATGCGAGAACAATAAGAAGAATCATCAACACAAAACCCGTCAGAACAGAAGAGAGTGAGCATCGAACTACACAAGTTAAAATTGCAACAACCAAAATAGTCATAACGGACGTTTTGCTCTACTATTGAATGTACAGAAAAGTATTCTTTTGCTTTTTTTTCCTTCGTAAGTGGTGAATTTTGCGATATGTTTGCTAATATACTTTAGAACTGTGTAGTCGTGTGTTATACAAGTTTTATATGTTGATATTGGAAATTAATATTTGACTCGAATTTATATTTGACTCGTTTTTCGCGATAAAAAAGAAAATTAATCTGTATTATTTCTGTGTATTTTTTGTATATTTTTTGTATTTGTATTTAGTAAATATGTTATATATTGGAGCATTTTTTTTATTTACTGTACATCTTAAGATAATTGAAATGTACTTGTACATCTAGCGGGATAAATTTAGCGTAATTATTTTTAACGAATGACGAAAATGCGATGATCTGGAAGTAAGAAACATCAAATTTATAATCCTATGGTTGCATAAATATATTTATAAGTTCAGACTAAACACCACAAGTTCTATAACTATACATTTTCTACATGAAATTAGAAAACTAACAAAAACAAATGTATTGAATTTTGTACTAAGTCAACCAAAAACTAATAATTCCGTATTGAAACAGCCTATACAAATTTATTGACGTTATTCTACACACAGAACACCTTTTCATTTGTACTCTCTAAAACAAATAAATGAAAACAAACAATAATCGAAAAACCTAACAAACGATATACAAACCAACTCTAAACAGCAGTAAACTACTCAAACATGACTTTTTTTACCTAATTTACCGACTGGGGAAAAACTGCAAAATATCTACAAATTATATTCGAGTTTATACACATGAACGGTAAAAGTTCACACTCTCACATGTTCGCGTTGAAAAGATCACACAGAAAAGAAAACACGTTAATTCTCTGTATCATAAACTTTCAAACACAAAAACAAACACTCAAACATTTGACTACTTCTATGTACCGATACTGACACTAACACACTGAAACGGTGACACACACTCTATTGAAGATAACTCAATACAAGCAAAAACACAACTAATAAATGATAAATCACGTCCTATTGGAGCAACGATAATGAATAGTTTATATGTTTATATTATATATCAAAAAGTGGTGAAATTATGGTTGATTGAAATGAAAAAAAAATTAAAGTTGGAAGCAGAAATGGAATTCAGATTATACCTCTCTATTTTTTTTTACATTAATTCTGAACTATTATTCATGTTACGTTAAGTTCATTGTTTTTGTTTTATTTGTTTGATTAGTGATATATTTTCATATTTTGTTAGTATTATTATTCTCCCTAAGAAAGTTCAAGGAGTAGAACACACATACACAACCACACTCATACACACTAAATCAAAAGTATTCCTATTACAATCTCTTACGTGTAAGTACTAAAAGTATCAGTAAACAAGAGTGATTCTCGGCAAAAAAAAATTATCTACATTTGAAGTAATTTAAAGATTTTCTGTTTTTCAACATTACAAACAAAACTGTTGAATTGATTCCTTTTTGTAACGTTAATTGTACTCTAGCAACCGACCGGAAAAGGTGGGGAGTTTGTATTATAATTGAAAATGTGGGAATTACACATGGAAACGATTTCAAGTTGCGTTCAAAAACATTCAAAATGTTTTTGCACCATGATGGAAAATTTACCCTAGCAAAAAAGAACTAATCGTTTTAAAATAACAAAAACAAACTAAAGTAAGATTAAACAAAAGTAAATTTAAACAACTTTAGAAGGATATTAAACAACCACGGTCAAATGGAACAACCGCGGAAAATAGACCATGGCTTGCTTTTTGCTGCGGGAACGGATCCCAATCAGTCACGACTACCTTTTTGCGTTGGTGTACGTTTTCAGTTTCCTATAAACATATACGAAGTGAAGAAATGTGATATTCGATTATTTGTTTGTTCCTGATTTTAGATATTTACATTTTTTTTTCCAAACCTACATCTTCAATGCAATCGCTTGTTTCAGATTTCGAACCAGAAACCTGAAAGCTTCTCATCGGTGATCGGTGGTTGGAATGAGGGGTTGAAATGGCTAGAATAGCCTAGTGGCAACTTTTTTACGGATTGAATCTCAGCGTTGCTCAGAATAAATCAATTCCGAACATAGGTGAACTACAAAACGACAAATCTATGTAGTTTCAAATCTCTGTAAAAATACTATTTAAGATCATGCTAACAATCCTGAATAGGAGCATTGATTATCCCTCATGATTGCAATATAATTGAAAAAAATTCAATGATATAATACATTTGAAAACTATTTAAAAGTAATTTTATTCACAAATTTCAAAAACTTTAGTTTAAAATATAGCTATATCAAACAAAATTATTGGTTAACCAGCACGCACTGTATACAAGTCCTGTAAATTTTAGGACTGAATTGCTCACCTAATGATTTTACCTACTGCAAAGTAAAAATAATACAAAAACACCTACGCAAACAACAATGTTCGCAATATCTATTTAATGATTATAAATTTATATCTGCAAGATTCCATCTAAATTCAGAACACTTTCCGTTGGAATGCAAAAATGGTCCATTCGGGATATATAAAATGAACCTAATATGTTCACCATGGTCAACATGACTACGATGCTTTTATCTGTGTTGTTCACAGAAACAAGAAAAAATCATGTACGATTTCAGACACCAGATGATTTGCAAGCTTCGTGCACTCAAAATACCACCATCCGTTCACCGATTTGCGCGCATTTGAGCTCTTATTTGTGTCCTAGAATCTCCGCTTCGCTTGGCTACAGTGAATCCCTCGGAACAAACAGAACCACACCTCGACAGAGAGATTATTCTTAGGAAAAACTACACAAACGAGAGCATGATACAAAATGCATAAAGTATCACAACTACAGTGAACCAAATATGATTTGTCAAGACTGAACCAGGGAATGATTTTCTAAAAATCTTACCCTGCAACTGTATTTCATTTCACGGAGAGAGAGAGATAGAGGAAAGTAGTAAACTTAAATGCAGGAAACAATGAGAGAAGGTAACAGAAACCGATGAGAGAAACTTTATTAGTGAGACAGAAGCGATTGCCGAAACCCATTGTTGTGTTCCGATCAGTCGAACTTCGCACAGTTTGAACACATATCTTCTTCAAAACCAAAATGTGGAAAACTTATCACTGCTCCTGGTATCAATCTGGAACGAAATTTCCCATTATGTACTGTGACTGTAATCCGTACAGTTTTCGTCCTGCCACCCTGACCGTTTATGACTTACGTTACTTCCGTTCGAACAAGCCGTGACTGCCGTTTGTTTCCAAAGGCTTTGGGGAAAATCCGAATCGAGTGTTCGTTAAAAAGCAAAGCAACCGAAACTGCATGGAAGAATATATGGAAAGGCAAGCAGACAACTAATCGTGAACAGAAGAAAATATTTTTTAGATAGCTAGGAGATACATTTATATATTATTATTAACTAAAAGAATTGAATCTGATTGAAGGAAATACTTAAAGATGTGAAACACAATGAAATTGTATTTTAAGCAAAACAGAACATGAAAAAGGAACCGAAAGCTGCTGAATCTTATCCGAGAACAGAATCGAACTGGAAAATATCAAGTGGAAAGCAAATGCGATGTTGTGAAATTATTTAAAGTACATCTTGTTTTCAAAAGTGATTTGTGTTTTTTTTTTGTTTGTATGAAACGCAGAACAAAATTTAATTTAACGTTATCAAAATTATGAAAGTTGACAGTAACTGAACAACAATTTCAGTGTTTTACGGAATAACCCATTTTGTATTTGATTTTATTTGAAAAGTGATAATTTTTGAGTTCCTATGATCATTTTGATTTTCCCCTTCATAAGTTTAGTTTAATTCCCCCAAAATAAATTATTCAACAACCAAAAACAAATCACGTTCTGTATGGATTTTTTATGCTTTACGTCAACACACAAAATATTTCGAATGATAAACAGCAAATACTGTGATAATATTAAGCATAAAAAGCAAACGAATATTGAAATTATCTGGACAAGTGACTAGAAATATGTTCCCGGAAACAGAAATTCCGCTGATTTTTGTTAATCATACTTCCATCTAGTTCTTTTTTTTTCGATCAAAACATGACATTTGACAGTTCTGAGCTGACGGACACCTCCCTGGCAGATATCATCATTCAGTATATGTCTAGTCAACACTTAGTGAAACAAATAAAGATCATCGCCATTATTCATTTACTATTATGTTTGATAGGATACAACCCATCCGGCATTCAACTTTTCCAATTTACACTAGTATGAAATACTCAGTTTTCGATAACATCGGACTACACACACTACCATTTCAAGCGAATACTCCACCTTCGGTTGCATGTCAGTGTTCCGTTAATTTAAACCAATCTAAAAATTTGTGTGTTTTATTTTCATCAATTTTTGTTTCCTATTTATTCACACAAGAAATGGAATGAAGAACGCAAAATCTCTTACAAAATGTTCCTGAAAAAAACAAAAAAACAAAACATACATCAAGTTCATCGACACCTGCTATTGTGTCGTGTGCTCTAAAAAAAAAATGGAAAATTAACTACCCAAACAGATAGGGATAGAAAAACAAACAATAACAATAAACCATATTGTGAAGGATTTTTTCCCCAAACACCTTCTTGATTCACACTCGAACACAGACAGCAAAAGGAAAAACCAACCATGCACACACATTGTCCACACTTCGAAATAAATTCGAGTAGCCTCAGAACCGGATAAAGGTACACAATACAATAAAAAAAAATGCAGTTGGTTTTGGAAGCACAGTCAACACACTTCAAATCCCACAATTTGTATGGAACGTGTCTGATAAAAAGGATAAATAAAAATACATTCACACACACAAGATTATATTATTTGTAAAAAAACGGAAATCGTAGTATGAATGAAAGTGAAACAAACAAATATTCTAATTGAAGTAATGGAAAATAAACAAAAATAACTTAAACATAAATAATCTGTAAGATTTTTAGTAATAAAATATTATTGAAAACTTTACTCAAAAATACTTTAAAATATTGTATGAATAAAAAAATCACTATTATCATTATTGATAATAAAACACACACACACACACATAAAATCACACACAGAAAGTATTTCAGTTAAATAATTCACTGGTAAACCTTTACACAAGTGAACAAAAGAGAAAAGCTCCAACGTGAACCTATAGTTGATCGAATAGTGAATCCTTAATGAGCAAATGACATACCTTATAAAATCGGCAAAAAGTAACAACCGAGAAAGTAAAACACTACTCTTTCAGTAGCGGAAAAAAATTAAACATTTAAAAAAAAATCAGTGACCTCAGTGTTCGAGGAAGAAAGTAGTAGAATAGCATTGCTCTAGTACAGCAAAACTTTCCCGCAGAAAACAACAAAAAGCATAAAACAAAATGTGAACAACCGAAAGCAACTGGAAACACAAAAACATATGTGCAAAGTGACCGGCACATCCGAGAAACAAAAGAGAAAAAAACATAGGAACTCACGCAAAAGTGAATCGATACCAGGTTCGGATGATCCTTCCCTCGGGCGGCAATCCGTCCCGGTATCGAGCCACTCGCGTGCATTCATCACTGCGTCTGTGATAGTTCTAAAGAAAATTTTAACGTACTAGATCAAGTCTATGGAATTAAGGTGCGCGTTGTGCATAAAACATGGATATTCGCAAGTAAGCAAAAGTAGCAAGAATGAAAATCAAAAAAATCAAAAGCAAGCAAACACGCTCCGGGCGCACTCGGACTTGGAGCACAAGGCGATCGGAGGATCTTTTTTTGGATCCATTCTCCCCCCGAGGCGTTTCCCATTCGGGCCCGTGACCCGTGATTCTGAGTGAGCTGCCAAGCAAGTCCAGCTCGTCAATGACGGAACTGGGGTCATGGAGCAGAGTGAAGAAATACATTAAATTTAAAAAAAGTAATAAAATAATGTTAAATGATAAATTGTTGTTGATAAAAATAAATAAAAACATCACTTTTATTATTAAAAAAAAACTTGAGGAAAAACTATGATTAGTTGTGTAGCAATTCTTTAATTAAGGGATTAAAATACAATATGAAATAAAATTTAAATGAACACATGAGAAAAGTATCTAAATTAACATAAGGAAATGAAAAAAACTAGTGTTTTCGAGAAACCGAAGCAAAAAAATATGAAAGTAAAAATATTACAAATTATACATATGTTCCATTTTTTAAATATATTAAAACTATGTGAGAAAAAAGTAACACTAGAAAGTGGGAAAACAAAACTGATCAATCATTGTGAAACCTATTTTTCTTCAGTTTATCAGCAACCAATACAAAAAAGGAAAGGAAATATAAGTAAATTAATGGTGAATAAGTGGAAACAAGTAATAATGAAGAATAATAATATTGAAGTACAACCACTTTTATTTTTCAAGGCAAGAAAAAAAACATACACACATACACTTACACACGCGAAAGCAAGAATGAACACAAAACTGGAAGAAAGATAAAAACTGATTTATGTACTAAAATTATTTTCAAAATAAAACATTTCAATTCAAATTTAATCGTTTACCGTGTTGTTTAATTTGAAAGAACATAACCTGTGAATGGCAATAAGCTCTGGATACATAAGAATAGTATAAACGTAAAAAAGTGCATATTTCTCAGGCATTAGATGACAAAGCCACTCAAATGCCAACATGATCAATTTTCCCCTTTCGTCCTAAATAACACCCACAAACATTCCTCCCTTAAGTGGACGTCACCAATATATTTTCCGATAATCAGTGATAATGTTTTACTGCTTATACACAAAAGTGACATGCACCATATTTGTAGAAGTCCTCAAAAATTAAAAACTGTTTTAATCATCAACGTTCTTGCATTCCACGATATTGGCAAATCAAAGTTGGCTCCCGTGGAGAATTGAAGAACTATGAACAGACAAAATTTGACAGTTAGACAACAGATTAAGCTGCCAGTTTGCCGCAACGTATCATCAGCGGATGCAATATGCGCCGGCCTTAAGTGACTCTCTCTGAGTTAGTCTCATCGGCCGTGTATGGTCTGTTGTTACTGTTGCATGCAAGAAGGTGCGTGGGCTTGCATACGTAGAGGAGAATGTTATCGTGAACGATTTTATTTAACCTAGAGACGCATTTGGATCATATAGGATAAGACTCGTCTTAATGTCTTCGATGACGAAGACGTTAATCCATTTAGTACATTGGTCAGAAAACAGACTTTATGTAATTGGCAAATTAAAGTTGGCACTCGTGCAGAATAGAAGAACTATGAACGTGATGATGATTTCAAAATTTTCAACGGAGAGGTATACGAGTGCAATCAATAGACATATAATATAGAAAACATAATTTCTTTTCAGATTTTTATGTGTAGACATAGATTTCAGCTTTTCTACAACTGTAGCAGCAACCAGATTTAAATAAAATGCTCCATTTGCAAAATAAAAACATTTTAAGATTGCACTCGTATACCTCCCCGTGGAAAATTTTGAAACCATCATCACTCTCATAGTTCTTCTATTCTCCACGAGTCCCAACTTTGATTTGCCAATAGGCTAGCATGTCGTAAGGATCAGTAATCCGAATGGGCAAGGGCACTGGCGTAGCTAGAAAATTTATCTGGAGGGGGCCAGTTGCATTTTTTTTTTAATTTGCTAAACTGCGGTTAAATATAAATTTGACAATATTTATTTCATAACAACGATTGCGACCTCGATTGTAAGAGCCTTAAAAGCTTTCTGATTTTAAACAACCATCGTTTGTTCGTATTTGTGTGTTTTGTAATGAAATCACATAGCATCCAAATCTCATAAATATAAGCATATCAATCTTAAGAAAATTGTCAACGCTAGGTGATTTCATGAATTTTGTAACTAGCTTTTTGATTTAGACTACGTCTTACGGGAAGGTACTAGGGGTAAATCTAAAATCTAAAATTCCAACCGTCACGAAAAGGTGTAAGGCTTTTAACGCTTATAACTATGTCATTTATAGATGAAATTAAAATCCAAATACACCAATCGATAGGAAATAACTCTCATAATCTGCTAAAAAACGCTTTTTCGATTTTCCATAAAAAAACTGTTGAAAAATGTACAAATTAAAAGTGATTATTTTAAGACTGTTTTCATGAAATAAACGTTCTCCCCAAACCCAGTCGTCATAAACGAGTACCATTTGATTGCACATCGTGCTGCTTGAATTTGAAGTTATAAAACAGTGCTGCTTTTATGCCTCAACTCATTTTCGATTGGAACGGCGGGTGAGCTGGTAGCAGCAATAGCAGCAGCAGTAGGAAGGCAGCGGTTCCTGTCAAGCGCGCAGCGTTCGAGTTTTGCACCTCGAACCTTGCGGGTCGTTCCCGTCGAGATCACTGACTGCTGGCAGCGGCATCGCCTCGATGTCGCAAGCACTCCAAAGTGGATCCACCTCCTTGCCTGAATGATAATGATCCCGCATTCAACAAATCTCGATTACTTTTTCGAAAGGATATATCAGCTTTTTCAAACAACGCTTTTTATCGTCAGTTTGGAGAAACTGATAGCTCGCCCACGCATACTAATACCACTATATCAGGTAGGGGAAGATTTCCCCTATCTGATGGTAGTGTTAGCATGCGTGGGTGAGCTACCAGTTACGCCAAATCGACGATCATATGCGATGTTTACAAAAGCTGATACTTCGAAAAAGTAATCGAGAAATACTTCTTGGGCTGTGTCCCAATTGCCGAGTTCAATTTAACTCGTGGTTAAACGTAACATTTCGAAAGTTATTTCCAATGTTCGAAAATCCCGGAAATTGTTCCTTTTTAAAACAGAACTCAGCCACGGTTGCCAAAATCTAACTTCTAGTCGGTCAGAAACAAGCACGCTCGGATAGCAAGGTTATTCGATAACTCACGAGTTAATTTAACTCGCCCATTGGGACACAGCCTTGGAAGTAAAATTATGGACCATCCATAAATGACGTAGAATTTTTTTGACCAACTTACCCTCCTTCCCCCTCGTAGCGTGTTTTGCTATACCTAATACATGGCCGGTCACAACTTCTGAAACTCCTCTCTCCTCTCAACTACTACGTTATTTATGAAAGTTCCCTAAGTATTGGGCAACAGTGAAAATCAGAAGCACACACAAAACGGGTTGAACATTTATGCGAAATTTCGGTATTGATAGTGAATATCTCGCGATCAGAACATTTTAGCTTGAAATCCCTCCAGTTAATTCTTGGTACATCTTGTATCTATTGATTGAATTAAAAAAATAGTAAATATTGTTTTTTTTTTTTTAATTTCGTGCGGTTTGTGAACGCCAATCCATTATATTGCAAAATAAAACGGAGTGTTTCTGTGGTGGGAAAAACTGATTTCCGTACACAGATTACAGATTTCTGTACCAAGCATTATTTATGCTTTAAGATATTGTCGCGCTTATGTTAAATTCTCATTTGGTGACGGCCGAAACGCCGCGATGCAACCCCGCCCATAAGAATTATACACAGGTGTGTAACTTAGATAGTATTGTATGGCAGCGGCTTGAGGAGCGAATCCTGGATAAAGAACCGCCGTGTGTTAAATCAATGGGCGGCCATAAACAGAAAGCAGATGGTGTAATCCCATTTTGAGAAATTATCCTGCCACACACAATATTGTCGCACTTATGTTAAATTATCATTTGGTGACGGTCGAAGCACGCCGCTGTATTGCGCGCTGCAACCCCGCCCATAAGTATTCTACACAGGTGTGTAACTTAGATAGTTGTTTATGGCAGCGGCTGAGGAGCGAATCCTAGATAAAGAGCCGCCGTATGTTACATCAATGGGTGCAGTCGTACGGTCATAAACAGAAAACGGATGGCAGGGGAAATGGCTCTAATGTTGACCTATGGATCTAAGATTAGGCCCATCGCTAAAAATCTGCTATTTATAAATTTTATCTAGATGAATGCCATTGGGACGGTACTCATGGATATTTTTGGTCGCTATTGAAAATTTAGTCGATTGCTGAATTTATGTATGGGCCCAAGTTAGGGACATTTAGGCCGACATTATATCCATTTCCCCTATAATCCCTTTTTGAGAAATTATCCTGCCACACAATAAGCTATGTAAGTCCATCCTACTTGGAAAATTATAACGGTTTATAAAATCCCAGATTTTTTGCTGATGGGGGGCGAGGCATAGCAAGCCGTTCGGTTGAAAAATTCTCCAAGTAGGATGGACTTACAATGCTTATCTCTTAGCATAAATAGAGGTACCGTCGAGTTTTTTTCAGTGATAGGTGCTGAAATTCGACAGTGTGCATTCAAAAGGGCCTAATTGCACTGATCGATTCTCTTCATCGATTTTCTCTTTACATTGCTACAGCTAAGCGAAACAATTCAAGCTGAATATTGCATTAGGTCCTAATTTACATTGACAAGATTCTCTTTGTCGACTCCTCCTTGTATCCCCTCGGCCATGTATAGACATTCCCAGGTATTTTTAGCACACAGAACGATAAAGAAGCTTTTATCTAGCATCTAATACGACAAATTATATGCTCAAGTTATTAACGAAAGAGAAAGTCGACGAAGAGAATCGATCAATGTTGCTTAGGACCTAATGCAATGTTCAGCTTGAATATCATCTGATTTTTTTTCTTAAATGTAGTGCTGTACAGGTTGTATTGGCTATTAAAAGCAACAGTAAACGCACCGAGAAATGTTAATCCAAGCGAGCTATTAACAAAAGAAAAAATCGATCATCGCGGTTCCGTCCTTATGTGTATGCTCACTGTCGAATTTGTAATAAGTGATAAATATTCACTTTTTTCCCACCACAGGCCATTGTTCTTATGCCAAATGATGCATGTGCGAACGAAATCTTTAAAAAACAGCAATATTTACTTTGACTATATGTTTTAGTATTACTTCTACGTGAAGTCAACGATTTACATACCGATTTGTACCTTCCTTAAAAGTTGTCCTAGTTCGCTATTCTAATATCTATATACAATCTTCACACTGCCGTACTCTAACGGAACTATCAACTCTATGCTTTCATCTACTCCATCTATCGTATAAAAATTACCACTACAGTCTGTTATTTGAAATTAGCATCTTCAACTATGTAAATCGTTGACTTCACGTAGAAGTAATACTAAAAACATATAGTCAAAGTACATAACTCTGGATGGGAGCATACCATCAATTACTGTCAATGGTCGAAAGGTACAGTAGCAACACCTACCCCACCCGTGTCCCCTCGAGATCGTCAAGTCGACGATGACAGGAGCACATATCGTGGTAGGGGTAAACAATAGTTGCAATTTCCAAACCTACGACTGGATGCCTTCCTTCAAATAACAATTGAAGTGCGGTAAAAATCGGTAGAACTGTTTCAAACACACAGTTGGTACTTGAACGGGTCGGTTTTCATCTCTTTTTGCCAGTGGTGGCGGGGGGGGACACCCCTCACCATCCCTCTCCAAAGGGGGAGTTTGGTAAAGAGAGATGAAAAAACCGATTTGTACCTTCCTTAAAAGTTGTCCTAGTTCGCTA